TGCAGCCTCTGCTCGGGGCCCTGCCCGGCCCTCTCCTGAGCCCGCCTGCCAACGAGATGCTCGGTTACCGCGGGACGCGCCTCCAGGTCGGCCGCATGGAAACCACACCGGCCAACAGGATGCTCACGCCCCCGGACGGAGCGCTGAGCGCTCTGCACCAGCGGAACAAAGGCTCTCGGGCCCCATTCTGAGATGAAACCACAACTTAGGGAATCACAGCAAGAGCATCCATCCTGGTCTCTGATGTAGCTTAGCAACTGGTCAGAACAATAACTACTCCTCACCTTTACCAGTGGTGCAAACCTGCAAACACACCTGGGCCGTACAGCCCCCGGGGCATAACGTCCATGAAGAACTGCTCCCTACCCCCCCGGCACGAGAAAAGCCCAAGCACAGACTCAAACTGCTGCGCAGCCGGAACCAAACCCCGCCACTCCGGTGGGGACGGAGCCCCGCCACGAAGTCAGCGGCTGCCTCTTCAGGTTTTTTGTCTAAATTCAATAATCCATCTTTACGATTTATACTGTATCATTGGGATATTTGGTTATTTGTGTCTAAAATCAATAGAAATATAAAAAGCAAGTATCCAGTAACAAAATCAGACACACCAACAGTTAAAGATAAATGTCTACAATGTACAGCAGAAAGTTACAAATGAAGACCACACACACACACACACTCGGACAAAAACAGCCGTGCCTGTCCCGGGCAGCAGCGAACGCTCTCCTAGGTCCCGAGTTTAACTGGCGGCTGAGGAGGAGGAGGAGGGCGGTCAGTCCTGGAGGAAGGCTGTGAGGCCAGCCCCGCGCTGCTGCTGAGAGGCTGTGCCTGGAAGAGTGTGGTCACTGGCACGCAGTGAGCGCACCACAGGCCCAGGCTCCCTGGACAGTCCCACTGACCAGAGTCGTAAGTCAGGAGAGCTCTGGGAACCAAGCAAAAACTGGGCTACTTATACGTGCAAAGATTTATATACACACGTGTTTGTGCACGCACACACGCACACGCACACACACGCACACGCACACACGCGCGCACACACACACACAGACTGAAGGCTCTTTCTGGTGCGGAAGACACCTGGAGAAGCCAGCACATAGTGGACACTCACAGTGCCTTCCAGATGGGCCCGCCCCCCGAAAAGACCCACCTCTGGGCCTCTTCTTTTTGTTTTTCTAACTCGATGATCCTTCGCTCTTGTTCTTTCTGTTTCAGGCGTTCGGCCTCTATGGACTTTTGCTTCTGGAGTTGCTGCTTGTTATGTATTTCTCTTAATTCCTATAAAATCAAGAAACAGGTGATGCATGAGGTGACAGCACTGCCACTGTCTGTGAGCGACATTTCACAGTGGAGAGGCCTAGGCATTTAGGGAGAACATTTCAGAGGTGAAGAGTGTGACCTTGGAAAGCTGCCACCCCCTCCACTCTGGCAGGACTGCACTCCAGGAGCTGGCGAGGCCACTGCAGGGAGCTGTGCACACGCCCATGCTCACCACGCTCTCCACCAGTGCTCAGAGGCCACTGCAGGGAGCCGTGCACACGCCCATGCACACCACGCTCTCCACCAGTGCTCAGAGGCCGCTGCACACGCCCATGCACACCACGCTCTCCACCAGTGCTCAGAGGCCGCTGCACACGCCCATGCACACCACGCTCTCCACCAGTGCTCAGAGGCCGCTGCAGGGAGCCGTGCACACGCCCATGCACACCACGCTCTCCACCAGTGCTCAGAGGCCGCTGCACACGCCCATGCACACCACGCTCTCCACCAGTGCTCAGAGGCCGCTGCAGGGAGCCGTGCACACGCCCATGCACACCACACTCTCCACCAGTGCTCAGAGGCCACTGCAGAGAGCCGTGCACACGCCCATGCACACCACGCTCTCCACCAGTTCTCAGAGGCCGCTGCAGAGAGCCGTGCACGTGCCCCGTGCACACCGCGCGCTCCACCCGTGCTCAGAGGCCGTGCTCGCCTGGGAAAGGCATTCCAGGAGCCCCAGGGTCCAACTCAGCAATAACAATGGGCATGACGGGTTTAAGACACGGTGCTGATCATGATTAAAACCTCGAGATCTTTCTGGTCATGAAGGAACACCAGCCTCCACTGGCTTTGACAATGCACACACCTCCTCACGTACCATCTCCACTAAAACCTCACCTCCTCCTCCTGCTGCGCTGCCTCCGAACAAAGGGCCAGGCCTCTGCTCCGTGACCTCCTGCTCCCCCACCCAGGCCGCTTGCCTTCAAATCACCTCTTTCAGAGCATCTGCTCTCTAAAGCCAGTGCGACGGCGTCGGCCGCCCAGACTCGACCAGCCAGCAGTGACAGGGAGTAAAGAGCCTGCCAGCACCTTGGACCCCATGTCCCCACCCGATACTGGCCCGGCAGAACCAGGCGCTTCTTCACGGGCTACTGAAAATACAACGCATCTTACGATAGTCAAGCTGAAGCTTAAACGCCCAAAAGGATGAAGAACAAAAATGCCAGTTCAGGAGAACCCTGGAGGTGCAGTCACTGGAACCGATCTGACTGCGTCGACCGCCCAGGAGCCCGCAGGCCTGCGGGGACTGCGCGGCCCGGCTGCCGAGGGTCGGTGTCCGTGGCCAGCCCGGGTCTGCGCGGGGAGGCTCGGAGCTACGGCTGCCTGTTGCTCTGGCTTTGCTCACTGCCAAGTCCACAGGTGGCTCTCGCTGCCTTGAGCTCCTGCCTTCAGGTTCGTTCAGAGACTGAAGCCCAGGGTCGAGGAAGCACGTGGAGCGGGTCAGTGTTAAAACGCTCTTCTTCCCCGTGAAGAGCCCTGAGTGTCAGACTAACCTTTCCTGCCAGCGGGGCTGCTCTTAAGAGGAAGCCCAACACACCAACCAGCACTCTGTACCCTGAGAGGCCCCGGCCCAATGGGCTACAAGAGAAGTTTAACTGGAGATCAGGAGGTTAGGGAGAGACGGGGCCTGGAGGGAGGGAGGTACCAGGGACGGGGAGGGGTAGAGGGGGCCGCTTCAGTGGGCGGCCCAGCAGATGAGAGCGGACCCTCCAGGCAGGGTGCAGCACGAGGAGGCAACTTGGCGGCCTAGTCCCTATGGCAGCAGCCCTGGCACCTGGCTTGCAAATTAGGAAGGGTGCCTGGGCAAGTTAGCTGGGACAGGGAGGGGCAAGGAAGCCACGACTGCAGACGGGGAGGCACTAACTAAGAACAGCACCACCCCCAGGAAAGAGAATCCCGTTTTTCATTCTCCTCCTCACCGTCACACCATGGGATGTAAAACTTTCATGTGTTTAAAAATTCAGCAGGATTCCTTCCCAGAGGAATGTGGATTCAAGCATAAGTAGTATTCTCTAATAACATAAACGAACATGTGATTCATGTTTTGAATTTGCTATTTCTGAGACAAAGAGATAAAGTGGGCCAATTCCTGTTGCTGGTGTGATCTGCACCCTCGGCTCAAGCTGACATGTCTACACGACAAGGAGATGCAGGGGCGACACTGAGCCACCAAGTCCCTGCGAGGACCCAGTCACTGGCGCAGACGGCGCTCTCCTGCCAGCCCAGCGCCAACGCCCTTTAAGGCAGGTCAGAGGGGACGGGAAGATTCCCTTCCGATCCTACTTTAAACTCCATCTCCAATGGTGGCGGGTTCTGGAACAGAAAGGAGGATTTATGGAAACAGACTACAGCGAGCAGGTGCAGACTGCACAGACACCTGCATGCTGACCCAGGTGCCCAGCGGCCAGAGGCGGGACGAGCCGTGCAGGGGCTCCCTCTCCGCTTGGGACCTGTTACATCGCAGACAATGTTTCATTACACAAATGCCTTCTTCCTCTCAGCGTCTCTGTTATTTAGGGTTTTATTTTTAGCGCAGGAATAAACCAAAAAGGTGTAAGTGGTAGGCAGAGTAACTCTGAGCTGAAACTCAATGCGAAGGAGAGGACAGGAAGGAGTAACGTCTGTCTGATGCCCAGGAGCCTGGGTGTGCGTGGAAAGAGAACGTTATTTATGCAGGTAAAGTGGACTCACAGGCGGAGTGACAGTCAAAATGCTCAGCCCTGGGTCCTCGGGGGCACCGGCCGCGGGGAGCGGGCGCGGGCCGCGGGGCACGCACACTTCTCACTGCACCCAAGGCTCACTCTGTGCATCTGCTCTCCGCACTGTCCCTGGCTCCCGGTGACAGAGGCTCTGACAGGTCATGGGACACAAAGTGAAGCCCTGTGAGGTCAAGCTAGTGACGTATTAGGAGGCACTATAACATGAAAGCGGAAAGCAGTGAGTTTAGGGCTCAGCTGCGCACTCTCCCGGAGCGGCCCACGCAGGGCAGAGCGTAGTGCCCCCGCCTCAGCCACCGCCTCCCCTGCCCGCACCACCTTGGGACGGCTGTGCGATGAGACCACCGTCTTCCATGAGAAAACATGTGCCCCAGTTCTGTGCTGGTCTTGGTCACACACTATGGGGTTTCTGAGGGCGGGGAGGTTATTGCCAGGCACGGCAGGGCCTCTGTGCACACGAGTGAACTGCAGAAATCCGTGACTGCTCTCCCAGCCGCCCCAGGTGAGGTCAGCCTGGCCCCAGAGGCGCGGAGCTGAAAGCCGCAGAGCACTTCCCAGGAGCTCTGGCCGGATGGGTAACCCGGGCACGGCCTTGCTGTCGCTCGGGGCGACTGGGTTGAGAACTGCTGCTTCCTGTCAGGGGGTCCGTGTCATTTCCCATCGCTCCCAGCGCCACTCGCAGCCCTGAGGGTCCATGGGGTGCACTGAGGGAGACTCAGGTTCTTTGCATCCTTCTACCTTCAATTTTGTAACTCTCTCATCGCCCTACTGAGTGTTTTGTAACTAAATCATCATGGCTCACATGAACCGCCCGCTCCTGTGGCAGTCGCATACAAGAACATGAGCTTTCTTATTACACACAGTCCAACCCACGCGACCTTAAGCAAACTCACAGAGGAACTTAGACGTATGGCGCCACCACAGTAGTGAGAGTGTGTGGAGCAACGCCTGGCACTCCTGTTGGGGGAAAGAAGGCTCCGTGCTCTCGACTGGCCTTCGGTGATGGCGCACCATCCAACCAGATGGGTGATGACGGGTAAGTCTTGTAACAACTAAGCTTCGTGAAGCGGGGTGTGGTGTTGCGGTTCGTTGTGCTGCGGGCCTTGGGGAGCTCCGGGGCGTGCTGCCCTGCGTGAGTCGAAGGTGGAGTGAGATAGGAAGAGGCAGTGCAGCCCCTAAGACAACGCGGCGTGGAGCTTGTAGCCGCCAGCAACTTCTGTACTTGGAGAAGCTCCGTCCTAAAATGCGGCTGCGCTTCAAACACTCCGATGGTCACAGAAACCACTGCCGTGTTTGGTAAAATGGGGCCTGATGCCACTGCCCTGGGAGTGGAACCTGAGATGGGCTTCCATCTGAGCCGACGTGTTGGCGTGTGACTAAGTCTAATGAGGCTTCCGTAGGAGCGGAAAAGCAGTTTTCCCGGCCACAGCCGGACAGAATTGCAACCTCGATGTTTGGTTCTGATCAGCCTATTTTGACACTTAGCAAAAGATTCTTACTGTTCAGCATTTCAATGTGCTCATCATTCGCACCAATTTACTTCTCCTGAATCATGCATATTGAGTTATGTCTTTAAATCTATTCCCACGCCAGAATCTTATCGACAGATGAGATTGAGAAAGATTGGGTGACAAAGTGCCCAGCACAATACTTGTGTGTTTTAGTTTCATACAGAACTAACATCGCAGGAGCTGTGAGCACTCTGGACCTTGTGTGGTTCATCCCTTCAGTCACTTCAAACACAGAAAGCAGGGCCTCTGTGGTTACTGGCCTGCCTGCTCCATGCTTACGTCTCCCGCATTCACACGAGTATACATCAGTGTGGCTCAACTTTCTGGTTTTTACACCACGTCGTAGTTATGACTTAGAGTCTCGCTATCAGCCTCCTCCGGTGCTGATGGAAAGCCTCCACCGTGAAAACCTGCGTGGACAGACGCAAGTCTTTGATGTCTCCAGGCAACAAGCCTTCAGTTCATTTTAATGTTTGCACTTGATGTGCAACTTACAGGGAGGCCTGCGAGAGACTGAGGGGCTAGTAAGTATTTTTAGTAAAATGTTGCCTGTGTCTTAGTGGAACATGTAGAACATGCTCTTTGGTAAACATTTTCTTAAAGGCAGACATGCTAGGTTGTAGCTAAAACGATTCTTAATCACAAAAATTCTGAGATTCTTGTATTTTTTTCCATACATTCTGAAGTTGTTTACCAACTTGTTTTTGTTTGAAGAATGACTTTTCCCTTC